AGAGTGTGGGCTCTGCAGTTAGTAAGTTCTGGGTTTGAATCCTGATTACTCAACTCACTAGTTGTGAGTCCTTAGACAAGTTACCTCACCTCTCTGAGAAATGTGCTACACCTACCTCATGGTTGTAGATGGTTTTATGTAAGTTCCTCTTCATTTACTCAACAAGTATTTATTTGCTGAATGTCCTCCCCACTAGAATAGAAAAAAGGAAGGATGCTGTCTTTGCCTGAAGTAGCTTACAGTCCATTTGGAAGCTGACGTGTGAACAAATTCGTGGCTGTACAGTGTGATGAATATGGTAAAAGGAATACGTACAAGAGGAGAGGAAGTGGAGGAGGGAACAACCTCTGCCTGGGGTTGAGGGTGTAGGGGAGGCTTCACAGAGGACCTAGCAGTGGAGACTTGAGGGAGAAGTAAGAGGCATTCTTTTTTGTTTGTTTGGTTGTTTTTTTGTTGTTGCTGTTAAGAGGCATTCTTTTAAACATATAAAGGAAGAGTTGGGCATTCTAGGCAGAGTAGAGCCTGGGCAAAGACATGGAGGTGTGAGGAATGACACTGAAGAACCTTGAAGTAGTGAGAATGGTTGAAGCATAGGCTCTGGGGTGGCGGTGTAATAGATGAATCTGGACTACAGATGTGCAAGGGCCAGATTTGGAAAGGCCTTGAATGTCATGATAATACCCTCATTTTCTTGTTTAGTAATTATTTTTTTTAATACCATTTGTTTTATTTGGCAATTGTGACTTTTTAAAATAATTTATTTATATCTTATTTATTTTGGGCTGCTTTGGGTCTTCATTGCTGCACAAGCTTTATCTAGTTGTGGCGAGCGGGGGCTACTCTTTGTTGCCATGCACGTGCTTCTCATTGCGGTGGCTTCTCTAATTGTGGAGCACGGGCTCTAGGTGTGCAGGCTACAGTAGTTGTGGCGCGTGGGCTCAGTAGTTGTGGTGCATGGGCTTAGTTGCTCCATGGCATGTGGGATCTTCCCGGACCAGGTATCGAACCTGTGTCCCCTGCATCAGCAGGTGGATTCTTAACCACTTCGCCAACAGGGAAGTCCCTGCATGCATTCTTTTTTATTATTTATTTATTTATTTTTGGCTACATTGGGTCTTTTTTTTAAAATTTAATTTATTTTTATTTTTGGCTGTGTTGGGTCTTCATTGCTGTGCGCGGGCTTTCTCTAGTTGCAGTGAGCGGGGGCTACTCTTCATTGCAGTGTGCGGGCTTCCCATTGCGGTGGCTTCTCTTGTTGCGGAGCGTGGGCTCTAGGCGCGCGGGCTTCAGTAGTTGTGTCTCATGGCCTCTAGAGCACAGACAGGCTCAGTAGTTGTGGCTCACGGGCTTAGTTGATCCACGGCATGTGGGATCTTCCCGGACCAGGGCTTGAACCCGTGTCCCCTTCATTGGCAGGCGGATTCTTAACCACTGCGCCACCAGAGAAGCCCCCTGCATGCATTCTTAACCACAACATTATAGTTGCAGTCGGCTAGAGAGAAATTGAGGTGTTAGACTAGAGCAGTCAGATTAGAGAGGAAAGGGAGAGCAGACAGGAAGAGCCTGAGATTGTGGGGACATGGGGAAGGGAGAGATTGGAAAGCTCCTGGCCTGTGTAAAGTACTGATTAAGTTTTAATTTTAAAGCACACAAAATATCAACCCACGTCTAACTTGATTTTCCCCAATTTTACTTTTGAAAAGTCAACATATTTCTAAGCTGTGACTAAACCAACCCAGACCATTTTCTCACACAGTCCACTAGACAGGGTGGTATTAGCACATTGTGTCAGAAAGCCCCAAACTGGGAGTTGGAAGACTGGAGTTATAGCACTAACTCTGCTACTGATTTTGGTGTGACTTTGGGCAGATCCTTTTCCCTTTGGAGTTACACATACACACAACTGGTCCGTGTCATATGTTGGGAGGCTGGCCTCTGCTTTTACCAGGTCTCCTGACTGCAGTGGAGGAGCTGACTCAAGGTCAGAGAGGACAGTGTACGTACTCTCAGCTTCCTTCCAGAGCTGGCTGTTTGTGATGCTGAGAGATGCCTGTGGGATAGAAGCCTGCAAAGGAGCCAGGCTCTCAGGTTTAAATTCCTCTCAGCTTTTTCAAGAAGACCAAGAAGTTGCTTCAGAAAGAGCTATTTTTAGCAGCTCTAAATACCCAAAGATGTCCTCTATCCAGGATGCAGGGAAATATTTCACTCCTTCATTGGTTCTGAAAGCAATGTGGGTACTTGAAGCTCTTAGTGACTTCAGGGATCTTACATAAGAACTGTTTGGCCCCGCAGAAGGCAGAGCCAATAGAGACTTGTTTTCAAAATCTGGAGACCAAAAGATGGGTCATATTAATGGTAATCTGACTTGAAAATGAAGGGAAAGGATAAACAGGATAACTAATATAGATAAAAATGAAATACCTCCTCACAAAAAAAATCTCTTTATCAGTCATTGTCATCTGTTGTCTCACTTGATTCCATAGCAGCATTGTAAAGTACAGTTACTTCCATTTTGCATATGATGAACCTGGGGAAGGGGAGGGAAAAGGAATTTGAGTTTTCTGAACACCTGCCATGTTCCAGACACTATGCAAGTCTTGTCACAAATCTTAATTTTTTTTCCGTAATCTTGTGAGTTAGATCTTCTTGCCTTCAGTTTTGCTCAGAGAGGTTAAATAACATGTCCAAAGTTGCACAGCTAAAAAGCAGTGGAGCTCAGATTCAAAGCCAAGCTGTCTGCCCACAGTCTGTGCCCCTTGTACAGCACCACGCTCTCCCAGAGGTCTCAGGGAATTAAGTGCCTCTGCATTGGTCCTGGCCCTCTAGGACTTTAAACAGAGCTCTTCAGAGGCCAAAGATGATTGGTTTTGTCCCTGAACCTTTACCTCCTCTAGCACGTAAAGCCTCTGTCATGTGTGAAGTCCCTTTGCAATGCTTGGGAGACTTGAAATTTATTCTTAGCATGGACAAGCAAAGAGCAGGAACTTGGACTTACATACTTCCAGGCAGCTTCTGGGTCAGCTTCCTGGAGGATGTCATGGCATCCAAGGACATACCCTTCCTCAATGAATGGGCTTTCCTGGATGGCAAGTCTGTCACCCTCTCCAGGGTAGAGGTACTTTGCACCCTCTGTGTCACTGTTTCTTGCGTAGCCTGGGGGAAACTGCTTTTTTAAGACAAAGTTTGTTTTTGTAACTGCAATATGTACTACTTTGCACAGATTCTTAGTGGTAATTTCAACTAACATTTCTATCCAACAGAGTTTCAGTTCCTGCATTCAGCTTATGGTAGGAGAGCTATTTTCCTCATCTGTATTATGGCCTATGAATGTGTTATCTCGTAACAACAGTAGATCCCCTCTCCTTCCCTCCCCAAATCCCATCCCCTAGGCTTGGGCTCCCCCAGGTGGCTCAGCAGCAGTTCCTGAAGCATGCAGGAACATGTCTGATGGTGCAAAATCATGGGTTGGAGACACACACGAACCGTCCCCTAGGGCAGCAGGATCATGGCACTAAAAGGCGTCTCTCCCCTTCCTCACCTCTGGGGTCCCATCTGACCTAGGTCGGAAACCTTTACCCTCACATGGCTGCTGAATTCAAACAAACAAATGAACAAAAATTCCTGGGTCTCTATGGCTCCTCTGTTGGCTTTATGGCATCCCCTGTGGAGGAGTACCTGGATTATGCCTGTAAGAATGCAAAACACCAGTCTGCCCCACAATCAGATTTTCCATCTCCATTGGCAGTCTCACATGTTTGAAGACCTGGTTAACTTTAGATACAATCTATTCCCTTAGCCCAGATCTTGAGCTCTGGCTCATTTGGGGGGCATTTTCCTGGATGGTGAGAGGTGAGGGTCAAGTATGCTAATAAGCCAGGGACCAGAGCTGGATTCTCTGGGCAGTGTGGACTCCAGGCCCAAGGCACCACGGGAACTCCTGGGCACCTGTGAGGGTCCCAGCAGTGTAACTTGACTAGGTCCTTTTTTGTCATAGACAGGAAGGGACCATAGGAGGGACTTGCTGCTTTCACCACCCTCACCTGGGCTGCTCAGGACAATGTTTTCGTAAAGTCTCTGCACACTTTCTCAACTTTTAACCTTGAATTATTTGGATGTTGAAAATTGAATTTGTGTGTGGCACATCTTTTAGGAGATGAGCTGTGAAAATCTCTTCTTGCTGCTGCTGTGGGCTGCGTGATCTTGGGCAATTTGCTAATGTCTCCAGGCCATAGATAAAGTGTTTTATTCCAGATGATCTCTGAGGTCCCTTTAAATGCTAACAGGTTGCCCTCTTATAATCTTATTCTTTCAATTTTGTTAGTCACAGACCCGTTTCTCTTATTGTTCATGAGGAGTCGTGTTTGTTTGCCTCAGGATATATAAACTTGAACAGAAGACTCCATATGAAGTGAGAGAAGCTCTCCTGCCTCCTCACCTCTCCTGTTATAGCATCTGAAATAGAAATACTAAAGTGTATGTATGGAGCTCTTCTCTTCACAAAATGTTCTGTCCCAGACCCTAAGCTGGCCCTTTGAAGATACAAAGTTCAGTAAGACAGGGTTCCTGTTTTCAAGGAGCTCAAAGTTTAGCGTGGGAGATGGACAAACTAGCAAGTACAGGGGCTTCTAAGAATCACAGGAACTGGGATAGTGAACCAAGTGGGATACATGAGGGGGCTGTGATCAAGAAGTGGGGAAAAGAAAGGACCTCATAGTAGAGGTGAGTCTTCAGCTCCTGGTTGATGGATTAATAAATGTCTACCAGGTGGTATTTGGGGAAGGACATACCAGGAAGAGTGAGCAGTGTGAGCAAAAATACAGAGAAGTGATGCTTCTTGGCATAGTCTGGGAATGGTGAACAGTTTGTGTGGCTGTCATGTAGGGTTTGAGAGTGAGAACAGTGAGTCTAGAGAGGTCATAGGACTAGATCACGAGGGGCCTTGAGTGCCACACAAGGAGTTAGGTAATGGAGAACCATGGAATGTTTTTAAGAAAGAAGTTTTTGTGATTAGGTTTAGGTCTTAGAAATATCACTCTGACTGCAGCTTGGAGATTGGAGTTGGCAGGTTTAAAAACAAACAGAACAGTGAGGAAGCAGTTGCAGTAATTCAGGTAAGAGGTGATGAGAGCTTCCATTGGAGCTGTCCACACCTGTGGGGATGGAAGAGTAGACAGACACCAGAATTAGAAACTGTAAGACTGGCTGACACTTGATTTTTGATCCTCACAATCAATACTATGAAGCAATCAACGAGTGGTTATTATTGCCATTTTATGAGACAACAGACCTGAAGTTTAGAAAGGTATAGTGACTTGCCCAAGGTCCCACAGCTAATAAGTGGCACAGCCCAGGCTAGAACTCAGATTTCCTGACTTACTACATTGTTCAGGATGATGGTCCCTTGCTGCCTCTCCTCCTTGTAAGTGTGCTTAACAGATTGTTCAAGTGTCAGAGGGCGTGAGGGCCCCGTGTCCAGGGATGTGAACAACCCAGCACTTGGACGTGGGCCACATGCTGTGACTGGGCCGTGGCCCTTCACTGCCATGGGTTCTCTCTCTCTCTTTTTTTAAATTGAGGAATAGTACATATATAGTACTACATAAAGTGCAAAAGTACGTAGTCTCAAACGTACAGCTCAATAATATTTGACGTATATACACTTGTATTTATTCAAAATATAGACCGTTTCTAGGAGTTGGTACCTTTCATGGCACCCAAGAACAGGCATACCTGTCAGAGCAGCATCCTCTATTACCATGCCTCTAAAAGCTTCAGTTGGATTGTCTTCATCCCACAGCTGAGGTCTGAATCACTACCAGCAGCAGAATGGGTTTCTTTAGAATTGTATATGGGCGTATAACTAACTAATGAGGAAGTCAAGTCGACAGCTGTTATTTGTTGTTTTTTGTTTTCAGTCTTCATATTTATCCAGTTATTTAAATTATTATGTATTCATATATACAGAAAAATATAGAAAATATTAGTATTTGTTTTCTTTATAATGAAACCTGAAGAAAATACCCACTTCTTCAGGAACATGTATAGGTTAGCTCACTTGCTCAGTTGGGAAACACATAATCAAAGGCACAGTCGCACTTGCTTCTTTCCTGGTTAATCTGGAACATTGTTTTACTGTGTGTAATGCTGTCTTGTTCACTCTCTGGTTGGCGTGTGGCTGTGTTGCATCCCCAGCTAGACCATAAATACCTGGTGTGCGGTGACCATGACCCACGTGTGTTCCTGTCCACCGTGGCGCTCCCCTCAGTGCTGAGTGCAGTGTAGGCCTCAGTCACTCTTTGGTTAATTTTGATTTACTTACTTTAATTGTCACACAGTCCTTTAGGCTAATGTCAGACTTTTGGCTTATGATTAAAATTATGGTAAAGATGCACCACTTGGGTTAAAAACTGGACCAGAGCAGGTCCTCCAAATTCTCAGCAGCCAAATTTAGGCCTCCTGCTCCCTCGTGGATTCCTGTGGGGTCTTGAGGGCCTGGGCTTGTTCTATCTGACTTCTCAGAGCTACATATTTCACTTTTTAGGGAGTTGTTTTAGGTGGCCAGGGCTTTCCAGCCACGTGCAGTGGCAGATTCTAAATCTGGAGCTATCATAAGATTTTTCAACACTAATTGGGTCCTTTATTAATTCCCACCACTCCACCCATCCCTGCCCCCCAGGAAAAGAAACCCATGATAATTGTTTAAATTGACTGCCCTCCTCCTGTGTTGTCTGCAGAGTCATGTTGTAATGTCCAGCAAAGGCCCTGGACTCTGGATTGGAATTCTGCTGGATCTCCATTTTCTTCTACCAGAATTCTCCTTTTAGTGTCACTTCCCTGCCCATGATTTCCTTCTCATTTCTCAGCATCCGCTGTATATATTGCGGGCCATTGATGCAAGCGCAGAGTCAGCCCAGAACAGCTATACTTCTGTCCTTGGTTCAGCAAAAACAGTAGAGTCTTTGACCTCCTCCTCTGACCCCAGTACTTCCATGACTGAAGGAACCAGGGGCATTTCCTGTTACCTGGACAGGCAGAGGAGTTTATGGAGATCTCTCTGGAGGTGGATTATCCTTGTCCTGATGGAATGAGAGGGTATAGGCAAACTTGCTTCTCATACCACCCTGTCTTACCTAGCCCCTTGTTAAAATGTTTCACGTATATCCAACTGTTGCCAATACTAATATACTTTAAAACACCCCATATCCATGTCTCCCAAGACCTCATCTGAGTGGAAAAGATACTGTTAAAATCATTTTTCAGCCACAAGTAGAAATTTGGGTCAAGAATATTTCTCCTCGGGAATTCCCTGGCTGTCCTGTGGTTAGGACTCCCCGCTTTCACTGCCAAGGGCCCGTGTTCAATCCCTGGTCGGGGAACTTGGATCCCAAAAGCCGCACAGTGTGGCCAAAAAAAAAAAAAATTTTTTTCTTTCCCTCTGTTGTTTGAAAATATATCAAGGGAGATACCTAAAATGTTAGGCAATCCCCCCCCCACCCCCTTTGAAACCCTAATTCCTCTCTCCTTCCCTACAGGACACATGAAGGTAAGTTTTTTGTGTCACTTCCCACTTCTATTCCATAGGAAACATCATCCTTCAAATTTCTCAAGCTGAGCTTTGAGTCAGCCTGGGAAGTCTCTGCAGATTTCTTTCAAACTGAGCCTCATCTCTATTTCACACCTACCCCAAGTTTGACATTTGCTTTCTTAGTGGCCCAAAAGATCATCTCTTAATTCATGAGGCGATATCTCAGGTGCAGCACCAGTAGCACCTCAGCAGGAGACATAAAAGGTGCAAGAGGTTTGTCTGGCCCTGGCTAGGTCTACAGGAGAAGAGGTTTGCAGGTAGTGTCCCGCTGGACAGCCTTGCCTTGTAAGCCACCAAAGCTCAGTCCCTTTAGAGGAGATGGCAGTCCAGCAAGGTTCATGTCATGTGGTTATTAGTATTTTGGGGTCGCTCTTTGAAAACAATTTGTTAAATACACCTCCAGATGAGATTTCAGGCATAAAAAGGGGTACTCAGTTGATCTGGCCCAGTACATAGTCAAAGGCTCCGAGTTGCTACACGTTAACGAGCAGGTGGCTAAGGAGTATCCCAGAGTCTTAGGCTAGAATGTCAGGCAATAGAAGGCAGTATTCATAAGCATTTTCATGGGTTTGGTAGTGGGTAGAAAATCCTGACTCCCCTACTTAGTATAAGCTTAGGTCTCCTCAGTTTCAAATCGTTTAGAAGGTCACTTCAGCACTCCTCCCAACCACTCACCCATCTCAGAAAGCTGAACCATCCTGTGTGTCTGAACAGGGCCCCTTGGGTTATATGTTTCCGTCCAGCTCAAGATCCTTGCTTTTGTGTCTGTGATTGGTGGTGCCCACTTCTTATTTCTGCCTAATGCCATTCTTGTGTCTTCCCTTAAGCAACTCTGCTGATGAAACAGGCCTGGCCACAGAACTCGTCTTCCTGTGGCACTGAAGGCACCTTCCACCTCCCAGTGGACACCGGGACCGAGAACCGAACTTACCAAGCATCCTCTGCGGCTTTCAGTAAATACAGCCTGTCTCCTCCTTTCCTTGTTCCCCTTGGTTGGGACTGATTTGTCTCTTAGGAAGAAAGGAAAGGGAACTTTTAAAACTGACATTTATAGGACACTGTTTTAAGAGGTTCTCTCTCCTACCCACCAAAAAATTGGTCCTCCTCATATAGAACAGTCATCCTCTTTGATAACACACCCTGCTTTGAGGAGACACAAAGCAGTAAAGGAGAGAGAAGGAAGTACTCACCTGGCCAATGAGTTTGATGAGGGAAGGACTGTTACTGCATTTCAAGGGAAGGACAGAGGACACTTTAAAGTCTTGTGGACTTTTGGACAGAGGGGGTTCCTCCAGCTAGCACAGGGTTTTTCAACCTCAGCACTGTGGACATGGGGAGCAGATAATTCTTGGTTGGGGGGGGCTGTCCTGTGCATATCCCCAGGGGCAAAATTGCCCCCTGCTTGAGAAACACTGCCCTCGTGGAGGCTACACTGTGAGAGCAAGGTATGTGCAGGAAGTCCTCGTGAAGGTCGGAAACGATCTGGCCTGTCAGATTGGTCACTTCACTTGAGGCTTAGTAGAGTGACTGTTGGTTTCACCTTCACATCTGATTTTTAACACAAAATGGCTCCACTGGGTAAAATGAGGACCAGTGTTTAGAAATGACTGAGTGGCATTTTGACTCTGTATGACGAAAAGCTTCGTGCCTTGTTGCAGTTGTCCAAAAGAGGAGTGGCTGGCTTTGGATGTGGTGAGTGCCAGTCTCTTAAGTTGTGCCAGCAAGGGCTGCACAGGCCCTCGGAGGGATGTTGCAGACTAGGCCCGATGGTCTGGGGTTCAGTGAAGTTGCTAGTCTATTAAGTAAGTAAATTAGAAGAATACATTGTATTTTAAATTTTTCTTTAAAATGTTATTTTCTCCTTAGCTCTCATTGCCCCTCTTTAAAATGTTATTTTCTCCTTAGCTCTCATTGCCCCTTCATCAACTTATGTTTATACAACATAACTCTCACCTTTTGCAGAATATGCTTTCATGATCACCCTCTCATTTAATCTACACTATAGTCCTATTTGGGTGGATTTTTATTCCAGTTTGAAAGCTGAGGCTCAGAAAGGTAATATGCCCAATGCCATCCAACTGGTAAGCAGCACGACTAGAAAAGTGTATCACCCAAGTTAAGTTTCTATTACTGACTTTTTTTCTTGAGATTAATTTTACTCTTATTTAAGAGAGGGGTGATAGCAGTAGGGAATTTTTCCAGGTACCTATGATATTATATATGTAAATGGGCATATACATGCATATTCTGTCTTATATCTGCACATATGGAGGTAGATGCATATAGACAAACCTGCTGTAGTGTAGCAGAAAGAAGCCTGGAGTGGAGGACCAAAAGAGCTGGATTCTAGACTTGGTTCTGTGTAACCTTGGATAATTCATGTCTGTGCTTTGGACCTTGTTTTTTCCAAATGTAACACGAGTGGGTTGGACTAGGTCATCTTTAAGGTTCTCTCTAGCTATTAGGCACCTGATTCTATCACCTTGGTGCTGTATACCCAATATCCTCCACTGTTTCAGGGGCCTCCTCTCTAGCTGCCCAGACCAGTAGTTGGCCAACTAGCCTTTGTTCACACATCTCTAGGTATGGAGTATTCATTCCCTCCAGAAGCAACCCTTTCCACAATGAGAAAGTCTGAGTATTAGAAGGCCTTGCCTTCCACTATGTTGACATCTTCCTAAAGTTCCACTGAAAAGTCCAGTAGCTATATCCCACTGTCCTCTAACAGGCTATCACAGTCCCTGGAAAGGACCAAGATGTGCTCTCTTTCTTATAATCCGTAAATAGAGGTGGGATTGACTGGTCCTCCCATGTCCCACCAGAGTTCCTCCCAGCACACAGATTTTGTGGCTCTTAATACCTCAGAAAACTCAGGGCACTTTGACAAATTCAATGTAATTTCACTAACACTTGCTAAGCCTGTTTGTAGTTAGGTCTCCCTCCTACTTATTCAGCACTCTTGTTCAGCTGCCAGCAAGGAGACTGGGGGGTCAAGCCAAGAATCATACATAGAGCTTTGTCCAGACATATAAATCTGATAGTCAATAAACCGATCAGTCTAAAAGGCATCCTTAATGTGAGGATCAATGTGTTTGAAGGTGGTAGGGGCTGTACAACTGAAAAAGATTTATGACAGTGCAGGATTGAAGAGAGGGCTGAAAAAGTTTTATCTTGCTAATGTACACACTCTCTTTATTACCCTATTTGATGGAGTCTAAAATTATGGTTAGCAACCTGAGAGAAAGAATAGGGTACCATAAACAAAGCCTCTTTCATAAGTCAGGGCTGGAACTGCTAGTGATCAAATTCCTTTTTCCTCTCACAATATTGCCTTTAATGAAATGAAGACACAAAGGCCAATATACCAAATGTCCAAGATTGGACTACAGAGACGTATAATTTCAGAAAGGAGCTCTGCCAGGGCATGGTAAGCCCTGAACTCTGGGCCCAGCCCCGCACTGATTTGCTGTGCAGTTTTGGGAAAGTTGATTCTCCCCTGGGCTCTAGGTTCTTCATCTGAATTGGAGAGGATTGAATTCAAGTCTCTAATGTCCTTAAGGTATAGCATTCCAAAGTCCTAATTCTGTAACCTTCAGACGGAGGTAGAACTCTTTTCAGGAGACCCAGGCCCTGAGTGAGTGAGTTGAATCTAAGTTCATTTGAGCAAAATCAGTGAGTTTCTGTTTTGACTTGCTTTTGTTTCATTTTTGTTTGCATCAAATCCAGTGGCTTTTTTTTTTTTTTAAACTTAGGTGCATAAAGTAATAAACGTTGAATTTTGTGATACCCAAGGTAGCCCAGGCTACAGCCCCAGGGGAATTTCCAGTGATCCTCAAGGGTATGGACAGGACCATCAGTCAGTTGTGGAATGTCCTCTGCAATGATTTTCTAATAGAAGTTCCACTGAAATACTCAGAACGTAGAATATCAGCACTAGAAAGGTCCTCTGATATTATTTAGTCCAGTGAAGGTATTCCTTGAGAGAAGAATTGACCTGAATCACTGACAGAGCCCAGGACTGGGACCACTGTAGTCAGAGGAGGGAACACTGAGTCCTGGGTCCTCGTGAGCCTTCGCTCACTTGCTCGCGTCCCATCTGTGAAACGTTTGCGTTGGTCTTGATGATCTCTAAGGTCTTTTCTAGCTCTGCAGTTCTGCTTCTCCCTTCTCAGCCTGTCTGGACAAATAGGCAAGGCCTTCTTCTCCAGCATCATCTTTTCGGCCACCCAGTGTGTTTTGGCTACTGATTTGTATTTTGAGTTTGTGTGTGTCTCATTTCATAACATGAAGAAAGGATACATTTGTAGACAAGGTTATTCTTGGATGTGGAAACCAAATTCTACTGCAGTCTCTTGGAACCTTTTGATTTTCCTCAGAGGGATAATCTCAACACTTCGTAAGATAGTTGTCCTTGTGACAGAGAGGGTTAGTGCAGGCTTCCTCAGAGGATAAAACTTTAGCACACATTCTCTGGCAGCATAAAGGAAAGTCACCAGCACTGTTGGCCTGTTATCTTTAAAGAATCTTAAAATCATGGCATTTTAAACCATCAAATTTTAGAATCTTAGAATCCTGGAGTCTGTGTTCCAAGCTAGATCACACCATATTAAGTCATAATAGTTTAACCTCCTATGTACTGTCATCTTTCAGACTAATCTCTGCTTGTATACCCCCTAGAACAGGAAGCTTACTATCTCTCTATACAGTGAAAGAGAAAAGAATAATAGCTAACTTTTATGAACTGCTTTTAATGTGTCAGGCATTCTTTTAAGGGCTTTGTACTTATTAGTTAATGTATTCATCACAGTAACCCTATGAAGTAAGTGCTATTATTATCCCCATTTTATAGATGAGGAGACAGATGTATTCTACAGCTGTTAAGTAGGAGGGCTGGGGTTTGGACCCAGGCAGTCAGTCTGGCTCCAGACTACTCATAATCACAACCCTGTGCTATGTAGCTTTCAGAGACAGGCATCTTAGGATTCAGGGGTGTCCTGCCCTCCTGCATGGAAGAGAGGTGCTCTCCACTCTGGCAGGACGCCCCATAACCTGTTTTATTCCTTTAAATTAGGAGTTAGCAGGCTTTTCCTGTAAAGGCCAGATAATAAATATCTTAGGCTTTTGGGACCTTATGATCTCTGCCATAACTACCATTCTACCAGTAAAGCAGCCATAGTCAGTATGTAAATGAATGGGCATGGCTGTGTTACAGTAAAACTTGATTTACCAAAATAAGCTACAGTCACAGACAAAAAATTGTACTTTGCATGTTTTAAATGTGAAAAGGATGAATAAAAGATCCTGTGGTAAAACAAATTTGGAAATAGTCTCCTGCCTATCCCTGTCTTGGAGATTCACAGTTCATCCTATCATTTTAAAACTTCTCAGTGTCATGGAATAAAACCTATTTTCTCTCTTATATTTCTCCTCCTCCTCCCCCTCTTACCCCTTCCCTCCCACCTTCTCCTTGTCCTTTTTTTGGGGGGGGTGGCAAAATAACAGGATCCCTTGGCATCATAGTTCATTGTATACTCTTGGGACACGCCCATCTTGAGAATCCCCTTTGTTTTACAGACAAGTAAACTGTGTCTCCAAGGTGAAGTACACCTCAAATAGCTCCTTCTAGATGTCTGCAAACCTAGACTCCCTGTCTTCCCCACAGTATCTGTTTCTCCTCCTGTGACATTTCACGATTAGCTGCACAATCTAGAAACTTGGAGGAACCTGCTCTAGACTTTTTCCTCAACTGACTCGTACCTCCACCTCCAGTTAGTTTCTAGTTCTTATCAGTGCTACCTTCTCATTAATGTATTTTTCCAGCCCCATTGCTACTTATTTCCCAAGCATATTTGACCACAAAATCAGCTTCTTTGGTTTCTCATGGAACAAACTATGGGTCTGCAGGTGGAAAGATAAATGACATGATTCCAGGGGAGAGGGCAGGACAGCTTTTCGGTGGTGCCTTGGGTGGTGACTAAATAACAGCTCTCATACCCTTCTGAGTACCTCATCAGGGGCAGGGGGTCACCATGCCAAAGCTGTGGTGTGACTTGAGAGAGATTTGTGACTGTGTGGCAGCTTGCTTTAACTTGGGGTTAGGGTAGAAGAGACCCAGGGTCTTCAGAAAAATGGGATTTTAGTTCAGGAAGAGATCTTCATTCTTAGCCTTCTAATTTTACAAAATAGGAAACTAAGGCCCAGAGACTTGCCAGTAGTCACAGCAAATTGGAGGAAATCCTGGCCTGAAGCCTGGACCTCTTCTCTTCCAGTAAAGCACCCTTTTCACTCTGGCCCCAGTCCCTTCTTGTAAAAACAGCCCCATGTTACTGAAAGGGTCCTTGGTGAGCATCTTGTAGGAGAAGGACCTGAGGCCAAGAGAGGTTCAGTGATGTGTCAGCCAGACCAAGCCAGGACGGGGACAGGGAAGAAGCCCCAGCAGCACCCCATTGGACATCCAAAGCCAGGATCCCTTGGCACTGTCCCTTCAACTCAGAAAGAAGGTGGTGTTCCTAAAAAGACTTGCTCTTTCTGAACCCCAGGATCCCCTAGTACAGAGTAAGAGAGTGGGGGCTACTTGATGATCACTTGGGTTCCAAAGAATCATTCTATTTTGTGATTCTCTAAAAACACAGTCTTGTTCCTGAGTGATTCATGTTTCAGGTTTTTCCTGCAAACTTAGGATCTGACTCTCTTTTCCAGAAAATTCAAAGGCAGCACAATTTGTTTGAATGGCTGATTGTGAACTTCCTGGGGCCTGACTTCTCAGCCCCTACCCCAGCTTTAGTCCACCCTGCTGACCCCACATGGCCTGGGTTCCAGGTCGATGTGAACCTTTTTGATCCTTGACTTCAGTCTTTCAGACAGTGGTGGCCCTCCCCCAAACCCCAGGAGGGGAGGAAAGGCCAGCTGTGTAGAGCAAAGTTTTTCAGCATCCCAGAAGATGAGGGTCTCTGAATGGGGTTTTTAGTGGGGTTTCCACCTTAAAACTTGGCAGGGAAGAAGGGGAACATGGTGGAGGGCAGTCCAAAAAGGGAGAGAGATAAAAGGAGAAAGAGAGAGAATACAGGAGAAAGCAAGACAGAAGCAGCAGCAGAGGATGCCCTGAGGTGCTGAGTACGGAGACAGAAAAGCGAGAAGAGAGAGTGCAGTATAGAGCGAGCAGGTTGTGGGTCTCCCGTCCATGCACACCTGCCTGTCTCATGGCACATGGCTCAGAGTCCCAGACTGTTTGAGCTGCAAGGGTCCCTTAAGAGATCATCTGGTCCCAGCCTCTTATTTTATAGATCAGAGCCCTGAGACAGAGAAATAAAAGATGCCACACATGCAGCCACTGAGGGAGCTGCCTCTGGGGCCCGGGCTCTCTGGGTGGAGCCCTGTTCTCTGTCTGTTCTCATCTGTGTTTCCAGCCTGGATTCAGCCCATGTTTGTCTGGGGAGTCGTTGACTGGGACCTGCTGCCTTCCAGCGATGATGTTCTGACAACTAATTGAAAGTCTCTCTTATTGCCTTGGTACAGGATATACTGCGGGGACACCATACAAGGTCCCACCGACCCAGAGTAATACTGCTCCGCCCCCCTACTCCCCATCACCCAACCCCTATCAGACGGCCATGTATCCCATCAGAAGTGCCTACCCCCAGCAGAATCTGTATGCCCAGGTAGGTACATGTAGAAGCCCGGGACCACTTCTTCTGCAGGTAAAGGAGCCACCAGCCTGGGTGGGCTGGAGGGGGGTGAAGAAGAGAGTTCGTGGCTCTGATGAGCTGTCGCTGTTGTGTCATTAAAACAATAACCTTGCAGTCTACATACTCCCCCAGTCTACCTCAGTCCACAGTCTGAGGCTCTTATTATTTAGCAAAAACATTTGAGAAGTTCTGGATTAAGATGATCCAGGACGCCCTGTCTACTCTGCCCAAAGGTCAGCAGACCTGTGGGCTGTGACAGCACAAAGCAGTCATGTGATCCAGGCAGTGGGATGTCACCTCAGTCCATTGTCTCCATCCTCAACCTTTTTTGCCTACAGGGAAATAGATAGTAAGAGACATTTGGGGAAGTGCTCTGCATTTATGACATTTTTCCAGTATGTAAAATGGCAGCATTCACACCAGTCTGATACTCCCACCAGTAATCCCTCATGTGTACACATGCACAGTGCTCTGAAGTTCACCAGCCTCGTCCACAGCCCTCTTCACTCACTGATCGTGGTCCCTACCTTTATTTATTTTTAAAAAAATTTTTTATTTTTTTCTTTTTGCGGTACGCGGGCCTCTCACCGCTGTGGCCTCTCCCATTGCGGACCACAGGCTCCGGACACGCAGGCCCAGCGGCCACGGCCCACAGGCCCAGCCACTCCGCGGCATGTGGGATCTTCCCGGACTGGGGCACGAACCCGTGTCCCCTGCATCGGCAGGCGGACTCTCAACCACTGCGCCACCAGGGAAGCCCCCTACCTTTATATTTTAAACAGTCTAAGAAGCAGCACATTGCAATAAGATAAACATAGTAGATCATCATAGCAGCCCTAGGAGCGAGGCAGGACAGGGTTCAAGCCTTATTTTTCAGACCAGAAGCTGAGCCCAGCACTGAACTGTCCACAGCCACATAGAAGACAGAAGCAGAGCCCCAGACCTTGTGTCCCTGGGCCAGAGCTTCTCTGACCTCATCCCTTAGGGTTTGGGACAGGCTCCCCTCCTCTCCAGAAGCCTGTGTGACCTCAGCCTTTTTTCCCCCAGGGAGCCTACTACACACAGCCGGTGTATGCTGCCCAGCCCCATGTCATCCACCACACCACGGTCGTCCAGCCCAACAGCATTCCCTCTGCCATCTACCCGGCGCCTGTCGCTGCTCCCAGGACCAATGGTGTGGCCATGGGCATGGTGGCCGGCACCACCATGGCGATGTCAGCAGGTAAGGGCAACATCTGTGTTGGTGTCCATCCCCTTCCTCCAGGAACTCATGACAGAGTGGAGAACACAGTCATGGAATCGATTGTAGCAAAGCGTGAAGAATTCTATGCCTGGGGGTTCTAGGAACACAGAGGAGGACCCTCTAACTCTGTCCACAGGGATGGGGAAGATTTCACCAAGGAGGACGTATTGAGCTAGGCCTTAAAGGGTGAACAGAGGCTAACCAGAGAGATGAAAAAGGGAAGGGCAGTCCAGGGGTAAAAAACATGGGTAAAGCACATTCACAGAATGGAAATGGTCTAAATCACTTAGGAAATAGGGGCATGGAGTTGGAAGTGTGGCTGGAATAGTTGTCAGAGATAAAGTGGTGGAGAGTCTTGAATACCTTTAGGTAACGGGGAGATAGAAAGGGGTTTAAGCAGAGGAGAGATGGAGTTTGGTTTAATCATTCTCTCTGGCTGCAAGGTGGAGGCAGGCTTAGCCAGGGGGAAGCTCTGGTTTAGAGGAGACATGATGATGCTAGGACTCTGGTAGCAGCAGGGTTCCAGAAAGGAGGGCATAGGGCAATGTTATTTAGCAGGCAGGAGCTTAAGGACCTGTCCAATAATTAATTGTGAGGCTTAGGAGAAGCAGGAGTCCAAGAGGGCCCCTTCTCCGTTTCTGGCTTACTCCAGAAACCCTGCCCTTCGGGAACCTTGACAATGGGGGCAGGGAGAGATGCCAGAGGAAGAGCAGGTTTAGGGAAGTCTTTGGATGAACTGGCATTAAAAAGAAAGGCATGAGAAGAAAAGAGGGCTCTGAATAACCTTTAGAGACCCAACTTTCAAAGAATCAGCTAGGTCACCTTCTGGGGGAAGAGAGTATGAGGGGTTGAGTGGGCAGGAGGTGGGAGTTGGGATTTTATTCTGCCCCCTAATGTAGGCGTTGTTGAGGTCTCTCACTCCGCAGATCAGGTCAGCAAGCTATTGAATGTCTGCTGGGTGCCAGCCTTGTTGGTTGGGTCCTGGGGACCAAATACTGATAGATCAGACCAGAACCCTACCCGTAGGAACAACTAGGTTAGTGGGAACACAACGATGTGAACCAGCAATCACCACTCAGTGTGATGTTGGTGCAGTGAGAGTAGCATACAAAGAAGGGTGAAAGGAGGCCACTGAAGATGAGTGAGTGACTGTCCTGGAGCATGAGGAACGCTTCCCCTGGCAAGATGCGGAAGGGTGGGCAGCAGCTGTGTGAAAGGCTGTGGCTTCATCCTCTTCATCCCAGCGCTCTGGGACGGCCTCATCAGGTTTACTCTTCTCTCTCTGGATGCTCAGGTACCCTGCTGACTGCACCCCAGCACACCGCAATTGGGGCACACCCTGTCTCCATGCCAGCATACAGGGCCCAAGGGACCCCTGCGTACAGCTATGTGCCCCCGCACTGGTAAAGCCTGCATCCCATCCAAGTGAGTGGGGCCCAGGGTGGGAGAGGTAGGAGGGTGACAAAACAGAATTGTTTCAAAGCCCCTGTCTTGGTCTGAAGCACAGGTGTCAGCAAGGGGCAGGTGACAGTTACCAGTTACTTTCCTGCTCCAGGTTTAGTAATATCACTCTTAGTAATAGCTGTCACTTTATATATATTCTAGATACTTAACGTATGCTCTCTCATGATCCTCACAGTAGCTCTGTGAAATAAGGATCATTAGCTCTATTTTACAGATAAATACATAGTTCAACATCACTTAACCAGTAAAAACTGGGACTTGAACTCCAATCCTCTAGTACTAAATTCTGTGCTCTTTACCATACAGTCTTCAGGCTTCTTCTGCCTGTGGGCCCCATTCTTCCAATGAACTGTTACCGCAGTCAGATGTTGGCTCTGACTGGGGCCAGGCAGAAACCCTGGGCCATCTCCACCACCAGATTCCTTGCTGCCCTCCGCAGCTGCTGAGGCAGTGCCAGTGAACTGCAGGGCTCCAGGGATTTGAAAATCCTCTGCCCTACTTCCTCATCTCCCCCGCCCTCCTCCTCCAGGAGCTCTTGGCACTGGACAGGAAACAGGCAGCTCCACTGGGAAGGCACAGAGGGCTCCATTTAGGGCTCCCAGCGTGAGGGGAGGGGGTCCAGTAGCTTCCTGAAGTGGCCTCAGGGATATCACTGTCACTAACGACCTTCCCCTTCCTCCCCCAGATCTGGAGTCACACATTGTATGCAACTACTCAAGTCTTACACAGGTGCTGGAGCAGCTCCCTAGCAGCACCACCTCTATTTGCAAGAAGAGACAACGGAAGTGCAAGGGTCACTTTATGCATCTTTAACGGTTTTGGTTTTTATTTTCGGTTTTTGTAAAAGCTGCTTTTTCTAATCTCCTGCCTCTCCCCACTGTCCCCCTTTTAGCCACTGCCCTTCCAGCTCTAGCCCTCCTCCTACCTGACCAGGCACATCCTCTCTGCTCTTCTTTTCTTCCCTAAGAATCCGGTCCCGGGAGCCTAGTCTAGCAGCAGTCAGAGAGTGGGGTCTCTTGCAGTGGTTCAGCTGAAGGCGCAATTTCCTTTGAAGAGCATGAGAGATGTGATCCTCAGGTCCAGGGTAGGAACTCAGAGCTGTTGAGCAGGCCACATCTCTGGGGGATTGTTTCTTTTTTGATTTTCCTCAAGCAGGATTAGTTTAAGACATTACCATGTCCTGACACAAATGAAATCTCTTCTGAGAACCATCGCAACAGACCAAGAACAAAACCACCTGATTAGGTAGGAGTGTTCATAGCAGCTTAATAATACCCCAGATCAGAACCTGGGAAAACCAGATTCTTTCTTTGGGAGAACTTGGGGGAGGGTGGGGGGAGGGAGGGCACTATGGAAAGGAAGAGGGAAGAGGGTCGAGAGGCGCTTGCCTGCTGGCTTTGGTTGGTAAGGTCTCTGGCCAAATTGTCTGGGCCTGGACCCTCTAACTTGCACAGTGATGTTAACTGACTTGGCACTTCCTCAGAAGGTGATTTTGACCTCAGACCTACCAAGCAGCTGCAGGGTGGTGGGATCCCAGCCTCCCAAAGCCTTGGAAGGCCAGGTGCCCTGTGTAATCCAGACCTTGGCCCCTGGGCCCTCATGGATCCACTCTGATGAGGAGCTTGCTCCTGATTAGAGTGGAAACCTATGGCATTTCTATCCCTTCCCTTTGCCCTTCCCACTGCCAGGGCTCATCTGTCTGTCCATGGCGCTGGCAGACAGGCCAAGTTCTTGGTTACCTTGTGCCATTCATGGCCACAGTGAAGGAACCACATTCCAGGCGGGTGCTGGCAGCTCTGAAGGTCAGGATAGTGAAGGAAAAGCAATAGCAATAAACACTTCATAGACTCATGGAACTGAAGGGACCTTAGCAACCATCTCATCCATTCCCCCGTTTGACAGATGAGGAAGTTGAGGCCCAGAGAAGCGGAAAGGACTTCCCTAGACCTTGCAGTGAATCAGCATTAAATGCAGCCTTCCTGCCTGGGGCATGTTGCCCATGAAAATTTACCTAGGGATGGATTGGCTTGGTTTTGTAAAAATGAAGTCAGCAGTGCCCACACCTGGTGAGCTCGGGAACAGTCTCTGGGCTTTTGTTTCTGCTCT